CACTTAAATGTCTTGAAGAAACTAAAAATGAACAATTCAATGAAAAGAACTTTAAATGATATTAAAAAATGACTGAAATATAGTGACCTACAGAATTGAAAAGATAAGACAAGATGGGAATGTTTTTAACATATCTTTGTTGATATGCTTACAATTCACTGATCTTATGAGAGGAAGTACATTTTAATAATTATAGTGATTTTGATTTATGAGGTACAACTATTAAAGGACTACATAAATAATACAATCGACCACACTTCATACTTTAAGAACTTCTAAGAATCCAGTTAAAGTGTTACTTATTATAAACCTCTTTACTTCTAAGAAAAAACCTGCAAATTTTAATTAAGGCTTTGATTTTGGGATTATAACAGTATAGTTAGAAAAGACCTTAAATTCCATGTTGTTAGTGAAGATTGACTTTAGAATGCATGAAACCTCCCTCATGTCCTCCATACCTAGCTGGCCTGGTACTCGGCATAGTCTTTTTGATTTTTAGAGCAGTGCGATGAGGAGATGCCAACTTTTATTTTTTCTCTAGTGTAAAGAAATGTTCCCTTAGAACTACACAGTAACTACTCTTCCCCCCAAAAGGTTAAGAACTACCAACTTTTAAATACAAACAGAATTAGTAACCAACAGTTACAAACGTCACTGCATTAAAATATTTGTAGTTTGCATTTGTTTCATATTGAGGTTCAACCCAAGATTGGAATAGAAGTGGTGATAATTTCAAATACTATTTAAAAACTTTCATTTGTACACAGAGATGTTTAGATATGGCTTTCCCTTTCAAAAACATATTACTGACTCAAACTCAACTACTTCTTACTTTCTCACTTAGTTGCTTATATCCATGGTGGGAAAACCTGGGAAGCTCATGGGTTGGCGGGAGTGACTTCCTAATCCTTCACTTTCCCTCCAGGCCTACCTCTATTCAAAAGGAAAACTGCAGAGGCACTGAGCTTCACTCCCTATAGGGAAAAATTCCAAAAGGAATAGTTAACATCCCTTTCTCCCTATTAAAGTCAGAGTGACCACTTTACACTAGATAGTCCAGAGCTATTTTCTGGGAACATGAAGCTAACGTGATTAAAATGTGAATTCTTGGCTCTGGGTTTTTCTTCCAGGACACGGTAGCAATTATGCAACCTATTTTTCTCATCTCTAATTTTTTATTTTTATCAAATTCTGTTATCTAGCATTTGGTTAACCAGATCTCTGTTAACTAGCAAGTGCTGCTATTTTATCACCATGTTTATAACTGATGCTTCATGCAGCCCCTTAACAGGGACTGGCAGGTATCCAATTCCTAAATGGATGATTAAAAAAAAAAAAAAGGTTAAATTATATTCACTACACTTTAATGTAAATATTGGTTTTTGTCCTTTGAAAATTGGGAAGCCAAGTTTGGTACATATTTCCATTAATCAGAATATCCAAAATGAAGAAAAGAGTTGAATGTGTTGAGAACAAATCACTGTTACAAGACAATGGAAAACTCCTGGCACCCCACCAGCTGATAGCAGCTGTGCTGCAAAGCCTTCATGGGACTGGGGTTTGGAAAAATGAGGTACCAGTGAGGTAGGAGAGGGAGAAAATAAAAAAGAGCCATTTCCATTATTAATTTATTATTACAAACCTGAAGCTTAGACTATTGTGATATAATACTGGTTTAAATGTTAGTTTTTCAAGATTTGGATTTATTATATTAAGTACATTGTAAAATTTACTAGCATATTGCCAGAACTATAAAGCAAAATGCCTTTAGTATGAAATTATATTTTTAAATCATCTGCTTTTTAAGCCAGTGAAATATGACATATCATTACAATCAAGAGATAGAAACTTTTGAAGCTATTATTATTTTGCTTAGTTGGACATGCATGCTGGAAACTTCTTGGCTGCTTTATTTCATAAAATGTTTCAGTAATAAACTTTTGTACATCAGTTCCTTTTAGTTTCATGGTTGTGTTCTTCCTAAGCACAACCTCCTAATTTAAGAGGTCTTCATGTAATATTAAAGTTTCAACATTTTGTGCTTTAGAAATAGAAATCTGCATTTTATAAATAATAGTATGGACTCAATAAAATGGTTTGTAGTGAGAAAAAAAACTGGGCATGCCTCCCCTCTAGATTACTCATCCGACTCAACTCTTAACTCTAACAATAGAGTATGATAGAATATACACTGGTCCACAAGCATTTGGCTTGAACAATTCAGGGCATCTGGGCTTTCTCTTCTAATCCTAAACTGAGCAGGTCCTTTCTCTGCAGGAGTGACAAAAAGGTAAAAGAGATAAATAATTTTTTTTTAAATGACATCTTCCCATCTTTCTTTCTTTCTGTCCAGTTGACTAAAACATAAACTGTATGACTTGGTAAAAATGACAATAAGGGCTAGACACGGTGGCTCACGCCTGTGATCTCAGCACTTTGGGAGGCTGAGGTGGGTGGATCATAAGGTCAGGAGTTTGAGGTTTGAGAACAGCCTGGCCAATATGGTGAAACCCTGTCTCCACTAAAAATACAAAAATTAGCCGGGTGTGGTGGCATGGCACATGCCTATAGTCCCAGCTACTCAGGAGGCTAAGGCAGAAGAATCGTTTGAACTCAGGAGGCAGAGGTTGCAGTGAGCCAAGTTCTCATCACTGCACTCCAGCCTGGGCGACAGAGTGAGACTCCACTGCAAAAAAAAAAAAAAAAAAAAAAAAAAAAAAAAAAAAAAAAAAAAAAAAAAAAAAAAAAAAAAAATGCCAGTAAGAATATTAGCCAAAAAGATATTACCATTTTGACCAAGTTATTCACAGTTATGAAAACAAATATTTCATCTTCCAATTCATCTCCCCAATGAGGATCTCCCCTGCGTGGCTCCCGCAATCAGAAGAAAAGTACTAAAGAAAGGGGAAAGCAGAAGACTCATGTGGGGACAGGCTTATAGGACTTGCAAAAACGTAGGGGGGATGAAGAACTGGCTTATTCTTCTTTCCTCTCCTACACAAATGAAAATTTTGGTTTCTAGTGAAAGAAAGGCTGTGAATATAAGTTTAAGATGACTTTACTTTTCAACCAGGTGGAAACAGGTGCTATTTGACCTTAGCTAGAGAGGACGGTATACATATCTACTTTCAGAAGTCAGCCCAAAAGCTAACTTTGAGATTGCCCAATGTAAACAGAAAGCAAGATTCACTCTGATTATCTGTCTCTAAGAAAAAGCAAGCCTGATAGTGGGCACTGGTGGGCACTGGCTTTTTCTTTTAAGACAGTCTAACTCAGTTGTTAAATTAGTGTTGAATAATGTGTTGTGTATGCATATAAAAATGACAGGAATGTGGGTAATTCCTAGTTGACTTGCTATTTTATATAATATGTATTGATAACACTGTCAACTAAAAATTCCAAAAAGTTCTATACTAACTTGAAAGAGAAAACCACTTATGAAATATACCTCCAAATCCCAAAATCAAATGCCTTTGTTAATAAAAAAATTTCTTTGCTGGCAGTTCAGTCAGCATAATTCAGGTCCAAACAGCATTCAAGTGTTTAATGATTTGGTTTTTTAAATGACTGATTAAAAGCAGTTTTTCCTTAGCTCGACTTTATCTTCTTTCAACAATATACAGAGCAACAAAACCAGAAAAGTTTTAACTCTAGAAATACCAGATACGGTTGACTATTAAACCGGTGCATGATTCTCAAAATAGATATCTTAAAAGAGAGAGAGAGAGAGAGAAATGCACTAAGCAGAGCCTAAAACTCCACTTAAGTATCTTCTGAGGTTCTTGTGTTATAATGTTAAAGATGATCTAAACACTGCGTTCTTTAGCAACCTATTTGCAACCTGAAGTTTCCTCCTTTCCACCCTGATGGGAATAGGAGCCGGTGTGTTAAGCAAAAGCTACCAAATGAGAGCAACAAATGTGGTGACCTGTAAATCTTAAGAAAGTAAAAGTTACTATTTGACTTACAGCAACTGCTTCCAGAAGGAGCCCATTTAAGCACTGACTCAGGGAGCTCATCCAATAGACTAAAACAAAACAAAGTAATGCACAATTAATATGTTTTCAACCCTGTGACTCTTTTGATTAGAAAACAAAACTCTAACTCTGTGTTGGTAGGTCACCAAAATTGTGCTTTTCAATGCTTTTTTTTTTATTACCCAGCTATAATAGATAGGAAAGTAAGCAGAAATGGGGGAGAACCCTCAATGCCCATAAACTAATCTTATATCAGTAACCTAGACTAACGTAGGGCCAGAAAGGTGTGATCCCTCTTCTTACCCACCATAAGGGTCACAGCCAACATTCCTGTAACAAAAGGCAGGTTATCAGGAGAAAGTATAACAAATTTATTTAATCAAAGTTTTACATGACACAGAAGACTTCAGAAATGAAGACCCAAAGACCCAAGGAAGTCTATCTTTATGCTTAGGTTTGATGAAGAATAGACAGCTGTGCAGGAATGTGATTGGACAAAGGGTATGATCTAATGGTACTGAAGTGGGTTGGGGGGACCCATAAGTTTGTCCATATTCTTCTTGATGTGTGTAGCATTTATTCCTCCTGGGGATGGGGCAGGACCCCTTTGGAATGAGGGTCTTCAAGGGAGAAGGAAGAGGGTGACCTTTCTACATTTAATGCCTTGCTTAGGGGACAGGGGTTTAGTTTCTGTAACCTGCTTTGGGGAAGAGGAATTCTGGTTTCTATGACTCTCTTCTGGAGAGGTGAAGGGATGAGACAAGAGGGCAGGAGAAGGTCAGAAAGAGGCCATCCAGTCTCTTTCAGTTCAAAGGTTCTCAGTATGCCAAAGCACCACACTTTGGGGTATTGTTTTCTAAGCCCCAATACTGAACAAGGTGGAATTATAGGAATTATAATATAAATGCTTTAACTCAAAGTTTATATATGCAGAAACACAGAAGTAGTAATATTTATCATGATTTTTTTTTCTCAAAAACAACAATAAAAATTCATGCAAACACTGTATCTGAAATTTCAGGATTTTTTTTTTCCTCAGGCATTTACCACTGGAGAGAAGTTAATTATTATATATGTGCATTGTTCTCCACTGGGCAATATTCTATGCTATCCCATGATTAAACAGGTTTGCAGGATGCTCAATTGTTAAATGTAATGTAAATATTCCAAAATTTAATAATATCTGAAATTTGAAACACCTCTGGTCCCAATCATTTCAAGTAAGAAATATTCAACCTGTAAAAACATTCAACTAAAATTATTTATATATGTAAGCGACTCACAACCTCTGGCATAGGCAGAATAACAATACATACATTGATCCATCATCACACTATGTCAGGAAAATAAAAGGCATAAGGGAGATGTAGCATCTTGGTTGAATATACAATCCCACCCTTATGGGGAATTTCAGTGTCATATCTTCTCAGCAAGTTGAATGAATTATGACTATGTACTATATAAATTATATAAATTTATATATATTAAATTATATAAATTGTATAAATTACATAAATGTACTATACATAAATTATGATTATGTACTATAACAAGTTTGAAAATGTCTATGGTTTATCTGAATTATAAACTTCATAATATGATATTGGCTTTACAAGTCTATAGATTTACATTATTAATCAAGTGAAAATTAAGATATTAACATATATGAGTCTCCAAAATGTAAATAAATGTTTGCTTTATTTATTAGCATATATTATTATTTTACATGACACCCTATTATACACAAATATACATAAGTATATCATTATGGAGACCTACAATGAATATATATATATATATATATATATGTATATGCATATTGATAAAAAACTAAAGCAAGTCATACTAGTCTTATTTAAATAAAAACAAACATATAATCATTAGAATTAAAATGCTAGTTTTAAAAAAAATAGTATTACTTTATTACATTATTCTAATTAGGTAAACTGGTTTGTAAAATTAAATACCAAAACTGTTTATATATGTCCATTATGGTGTTTAGACTTGACCCATAATTTCAAAAATATTACATGAGAATTAATATGAACACATCAATCACTGCAGTGAATAACTGATTTAGTACTAATATGGACTTACATAAATGTTTTAGTTTTGGATAAGGGACTAGGATGATCAAGATTCCAAGTGGAGAAACATTTCATATACTATATATCAGTATTTACAAACATAATATGCATTTTTCTGAATCTACTGGCTAATCTTTCTCATTATTAAGAATGGATGCCACATTGAATTCAAAGAGATTTCTATGAATCAGCTAATTTTCCCCTAGCTTTGTACTCTTCTGTTGTGATTGTCCTACTTAAAACTTAGCTTAGCTGATGCTTTTGCTATCTGTGGATAATTACTGGTGAGCATATCTTGGTATATAATGAAAAACTGGTTATTCTGTGCTCTCTGCAATTGACTTTTTCTTAGGCCTGATCAGTGAGAGAACTGTACAACAGTAAAACACCCTGTTCTTAGTCTGACCTAATTCTTATGCTAACTGAATCCAGGTAATAAAAACTGAATGTAGAATATTAAAAATGTTTATGTGGCTATAAGATTATCTCATATAAATAGCTCATGTAAAAACTGTTTCTTCTTTGAGAAACAAAACATATTCCCTCCAAGACAGAAATAAGAGGTACGTTGCTTTCACTTGAAAAATATAAGCCCGATTTGTCCCATTTCACACTGCTGTTTTACACAGTTAATATCAATCATACCAAGCTCAGACTACTTCAACATACTTATACAATGTTAATTTAAAATACTCTTCCTTGAAAAGACTACCACCTAGAATCTAAGCTTTGGAAAATACCACATAAAGAAACAGACATTTCACTTTATATTTTGCACTGTAATTCAAGTACGTGCCTTTTTATAATGTTACCTTAATGGATTTTATGTGTTAGTTGTTTGGTTTTTTAAAACATATTTTTCAAACTAAAGAAATTTGCCTTGGTTGTCATGTTGGGTGAATGTCAATCTTCTCTGTGTCGTTAGCTCCCTTTAATGTATCCCTTCACACCTGCTGCAGTATATGATGAAATACTTGAAAATTTGTACTTTGTTTTAGCAGTCTGCACAGCCACAGGGTCCTTCAGGTTCTGATCCCAGGGAAGTTTCCCATACAACCACCGCAGCATGCAGTAGCCAAGGATCTCAACGTCACTTCGTCTGGACAGGGCTAGAGGAATAAGCATGAGAGAGAAAGACGAGGGATAAGCAAGTCATTGAGAAATGGAGAAATCTTTGGGTGATCTACTACTGATGAAATATGAAAAAGCCAAATGGGCAAAGTGTTTTGTTTGTTCAGCTGGAATAAAACTTAAACGTCCAAGCATTTGGCCCCAGTCCACAGACAGGCAGCGACTGGATGCTGTTGAAAGTAAGGGTCAGTTTCCTCACCTCCTCCAACTTCATCTTTCCTTAGTCTGGCCTGTCACATGAACTTGATCCCCATGGCCTCTGACATGATCCAGACAACCCATAACCCGGCACCAACACTTTCTCAAAGAGCCAAGCAGTAAAACAAAGAAATAAATGTCTGCAGCTAAATTGCTAACATATGTTCCAGGAAGTCCATAGGGTCTGCGTTGGTCATGCAGAGACCCTCTGAGTGCAGACTAAACACTGATGGCCTTTCCTGTTCCACTCACACTAGCAGCATTTGAAATTGGAAGAATATGACAAAACTGCCATCTAGTGTGCAGTATCAAAAAACAGGTCTGTCTCAAGATTTTTCAATCACATGAAAATACAATAAAAATATGTCTACTGCTTTGGATATAGGGTTCTACAATTTTATAAATATTATTTATGGATATAAGCAGCAGCAAGCTAAAATTCTGGTCCCATATCGATATAAAAGTGAGGCAATGGCATTGGAGGCGGGGTTGGGGGGGAGAGGTGGTGGGGAGTAGACTCTGAAGCCAAACAGAGGCTTTCAAAATTTAATATAAGATCGTTTTCCATAAAAAATATATTAAAAGCACATTTTCAGGCCCTTAAAAATATCATTTATATCAAGCTATTAAATGCTGTAGACTAATTTCATAATTTAACATATATTTGTAAGTGCCTTATATGAGAAGATGGACAATGAAACCTAGGAAACATCAAATATAACCGAACTTATTAACAAACCACTGAAATAATGATTCGAACATTAGCAAATACTCATAAGATAAACCCATTTTATAGTCATTCAAAATTGTTATAAAACAACAGGCTTGTATTTACATTTCTATCATTACTCGAATGTTCATCTGTGTAGGGATATATAATCTCCTAAGAGTAGTAGGTGGCTATTAAAACTGCTGTAAACAGGTATCCTATTTTACTATCTTTTATGAAATAAACTCTGAAAAGTTACTCAGTGAACTTAGTTTTTAATTTGAAAAGTCATCTACTAAGAACAATGAGGCCAGCACATCATAACTACTTTTGGTTACCATGTATAAGTTATTATAAAAGCAGAAGACATGATTAGCTCTTACACTCGATCTTAACTGCTATTAGCGTATTGGATTATTAAAGGCCCTTCAATCTAGCAGAATGCTACAGTCCCATGGGTGCCATTTACTTTCCGCACAAGCTTCAACAATGTCCTAATGCAAGACTTGGCTTTCATATTAAAATAAAAACACAATCTCTACCACACTGTTCTGTAGTGATTTCTTCAGTAATAAATCTCCCATTAATAATGGAATGGTTCCATTTGTACAGATGTGTTCACGAGTCCCTTTTCCATTATGGCAATTCCCGATTACCGTTACTTAAAAAAATTCATATCCTCTAATTTTCAAAAAATGATATTCTGGCACCTGTTTGGATGATACAAGCTACACACAAGAGGCCCTTTGAGGAAAAACAATCAGAATTAAAATAGATTGAACCTTCCTAGCCATTTCCCCCTACCCCCCAACTGAGGGATTAATTGATATGAAGCTGTAAGTAATGACAAGTCATTTAGATTTCTGAAGCCAATCTTTCATAAACTGATCTTCATTTGAAATAGCCCTTTGAGAGTTAACTTTACTTCACTATTATAGTTTGGTCTTACCTAATTAAAATACATTATCACATTTTTCAATCTTTTCTTTTTTGTACATATATATTAACAACTATGGTTAGGTAAGCGTTTCACCACTGTTTCTGATAAGTCCTACATAAATGCATGTAGTGATAAAAAGAACATCCAATAGCCACCCTTTCCTTTCCCCACATTGAAGAGTGAGGGACTAAAAATGTTTGAGTATATACCTCTATTGAAATTCCCTCTCAGAAATACAAATTGAGAAGTCTGACTTATTTGGTGAAGTTAAAATCTTCAACTTTCCCAATGATTGTCTTCTTTCCATCTACTGTACACAGAGGAGTAATTTTAATACCTGTTAAATTAATTAAAAACAAATATTCTAGACAATAATTAGAATCTATGTGTACATGTATAATTTACACAAAGAACTGATTATAGTCAAGGACTATTAATGTCTAACTATAAAAAAATCTTTTTTTAATTTGAAAGTTGCTTCTTTAATTATACAATTTTCAAACTCATTTTAAAACATGTTAAGTGAAGCAGTAAATAGAGAGAGCTCTGGACTAGGAATGAGATCCAATTCTAGCCCTGCCACTAACATTTTACATTTTCAGCTCTAAAATCAGATGATACTGTGCAATGTATTTCTTTTTCATATATTTTCATTTGAATAGAAAATATGTTATGCATTGTTTTGTTTTTGAGTCACGTATTTGCACAATTTATTGTAATACATAGGGTTCTTCAGTGGCATTTGGTAATATGATTATTGACAATACATTTTCATATAGATGTCATAAAATGAAATGTTTACTTATTATTGCTTGAAACTGTAATGAGATTTAGTTATTTCTAACTTTCTCAAGTTAGTTTCTAAATATTATTTATTAATAGCATCTAACTTACATTGAACTTACTAATATGAAGCAATATACATCACTCTTGTTGAAAGCCTGTTATATTCTCAATTGTTCAACATTTCTAAATTATCAAGTATTTTCAGAGTAAAAACAATTAGAAAGAAACAAGCACAAGTGGGGATTTAAATTCTATTTAACTAGAAATAAAATTTTAGAAATGGCTGAGAATAGAATGCATAATTAAAAACAATTGATGTGTTTTATGTAGAGCTGCTACTGTGCCTGGCACTCTACCTGCTTTTTATTATTTCATCTAATCTTTCAAACAATTTAAAATAAGTATTATTAGCTCTAATTACAACAATATGGAGTCTCAGATAGGTTAAATAATTTGCTCAATACCACAGAGCAAAAATTAACAGAGCTCAGCACTGATATCCAAGTCTTTCAGAAACCAAAGCCTGTGCTCAATCTAATAATTACTTTGCTGCTGGGCACAGTAGCTCATGCCTGTAATCCCAGCACTTTGGGAGGCTGAGGTGGGCAGGTAGTTCAAGACCTGAGGTCAAGAGTTCAAGACCAGCATGGCCAACATGGTGAAACCCCATCTCTACTAAAAATACAAAAACTAGCCAGGCATGGTGGCACACACCTATAATCCCAGCTACTTGGGATGCTGAGGCAAGAGAATTGCTTGAACCCAGGAGGCGAAGGTTGCAGTGAGCCAAGACTGCACCATTGTGCTCCAGCCTGGGCTACAGAGCAAGACTCCATCTCAAAAAAAAAAATAATATTATTACTTTGCCTCCATCATTAGTTTTAATATCATTCAAACAACATTACATACACAACTTCCACAGTGAGGGAGGTGTTTGAAACAGGCATGTAAACTTACAGCAATATGACATTCTGATACAAATATAGTTGTTTGGGCAAGGAATAAATAAGTGGAAGATCCTGAGATCTAAGCTGCATCATTGATGAAATTTTTCATGTTACTATCCTTTCATGAAACAATTTATTTCAATCCAATACAGAAGGATCTCTAGTTAAAATATTTATTTATAAAGTGATAAATGGACCTTTAGAACTGGTATAAGAACAACAGATAAGTTAGCTTAGCAAACTCGTCATTAGTCTAAAGACAAACTGGAATAAAATTAACTGGCCCAGTTCACCAAATGGACTGAAAGAGGAATTGGAAAAAAGAAAAGTCTAAGTGTTAATTCCAAGATTAATCTCCTTATTTGCCTTAAGTTTTCTGTTTAGTTTTATTTCTTATATAGAGTAACATTATGGAGTATGAAAAAAGCAAGGTTTTGTAGGAAATAATAAAGTGAACTTGAAAATTTCTCCATCAAGCAGAGTTCAAATGCCCAAAATATTAATATATGTGCTAAGACAATAAGAAAGCAGAAAACATCTGAATAAGATGCTCACCTGACAAAGTGAAAGGTGACTACTGCAGAACAAACTTAAAGTATTCTTAGTTTTCCAAGTGATAACCTATGTAACTCATTATTTCGTCAATTCTGATGTGTAAAGATCTAGAGTATTTTATAGTGACCATGACTTACTGTAATTTTGAAAAGGATATTAGGAAATATTAGGATGCAATGTGTCCTATTTCAGGTAAAATATTAAACCTAGGCTTCTCTTAGTTTTTCAGTACCTTTTAAATTTTAAGTCCCAGTTTTTTCCATGTGAAACTTAGGAAAAAGTCACTAAGATACATTGGCCAAGCAAATGTATCTTAGACTTGGCCAATGTGTATTCTTAACCTGACCAAAAGGCCAAGACATATATCAAGACTTTAAAAGCCATGTTTAAATGTAAAAACTGGGTATATGCCATACAGAAGGAATAGACTTCACTACTGTTTATTTATATATTAACCAAAGATAATTTACAGCAGTCAAATTTACATCAAAGAAGAAATCAACAGTGTATTATTCTGTTTACTAACAGATCTAAAAGGGCATATCAATATTTTGATGGTCCTTAATATTTTATAATTGGAAAATTGATTCCCTTTTTGGAATTATTGCTTAAGAATATAAGTATTGTGTAAACCACATCATTTCCTCGAGTTTGTTAGCATGAAAATACATTCTCAGTTTATTTCACATATATTTTGTAAGTTAGAGTGTTAGAGTGAAATGAAACCATGCAAGAAATAACACAAGACTTGGATTTCACATACCATAGCAATTGGCAAAAATTAAAAAAAAAAAGTATGCAATGTATTTATTTCTTTGACACTGAATGTATTAGGTAAACAAATGGACACTTAAAATACAATTTAGGTATCGTATTATATGGTCATCAAAGATGTCAAATTAAGATAGGTATTATAGACTCAATGCACAGGTCTGAAGTATTTAAAAAAGCTCAATATGTTAAATGCAGTATATCTCTAGAGAAATTAGGTATTGACTGCATGCCTCAGTGAGTAGAAAAATCTACAAAAATCTATACCACACATTGATTCAAATATTGCTTTTTAACATTACGAAGAAAGTAACAAATTTTAAAATAGTACATTTGACACAAATATAATTCTCTTTAATTATCAGGCAATAAGCCCAACTATGTCAATGTTTATACATGTTAGTTTTTATGAATAATAAAAAATTAATAATAGAAGAAATAAGCCCAACGTATATTATTCTAATTTTATACTAAATGAAGCACTTTAGCCACTTAGAAAATACCTTTAGATCATTCAAGAGAATTGAGTTTGGAAGAATAACCACAATTTTTTTTAAAAAAAAACAGATATGCAGATGTACAGGAGTTCTAGGAATAGTTATCCGTTCATTCATCCATCTGTCCATCCACCTCTATACATCTCCATGCATATCTTTTGGTTTGTAATAACTTCATAACTATTTTTCCCCTTTGAACTACCCTCCTTTTATGTAAATTTGAATTAGAAAATGCTTAGATGAAATGGTTGATTGGCAGCTTATACAAGTTCCTTCATTATAAAAAATCCATAGAAAAATGAGATTTAGCTTTAGTTTTTAATAACCTGCTACAAAAAGTAGCACAGAACAGATAGTCTGATCAGTCTAATAGTAGTTTCCATTGAGTGGCTAACTCATAAGCCAGTTTTACATTGAAGCTTGAGTATTTCCCTTCAGGTCTCTTGGCCTGACCAGATACAGATAGACCTGACACTTGGCAAATGCTTTGGCACCTAGAAATTCTATATCCTAGTAATAATTTTGTTTGCTCTTTATACTTTATTTTGCACTATTTTTCCTCAGTATTTATTTGATCTCATAGTTGGACTGAAAAACAGATTTTTCTGAGATTAAACTACATAGTGACTGTATTGAAAGTAAACACATGAATATTTATGAATCTGACCTGCATTTTCCTATAAGCTTTATGGCACTGTTTATTACAGGTTCTAGATATTGCTAAATGATTATTTATTTTCTAATAAAATCCTCAACTGAAATGTTTTACTTTGGAAAATTAAATGTAAAACATAGGAGTAAACATATTCAAACATTTGAGGACATCAAATCTTCCATTTTATATCCCAGACTAAAACTTCACATTAAAATGTCAGCAAAAACATTCCTAGAACTCTCCACTTTAAATACACAAAATATACACTCTTATTAGTACTACATCACACGTATTTA